GGTATCAGATTCCAGTTTAAATGAGAGTACAAGCGGCGTGCTCGAGGCGATGACCAGGCAGTTTGCCAACTATAAACAGTGAGTCCAGCCCGTGGGGCCAAGTCTATGTACGTACTCAGGTACGTCACTAAGAGAGATGGGGAAGACCGAACTTTCGATGTACAGGGCTTCCTCGGTGGGTCGCTACATCAGCATCACAGCATTGATGACGGTTCCCCTCAGGGCACAGTCCGGAGATTCCAGGCGACATGGACGAACAGTCTGACGGGAAGCTCTTCGTGGAGCCATTTTTGGACCTCTTCTTAGATCAACATCGTACGCATACGTTCGACTTGTTCCTGCTCAACGTTGTGGATACTCCCAAGGCATGGGTGTTCGATAAGGGCTGCCAGGTTAGTAGTATCGACTCTCCTTCACTAACAGTACTCTGCTGTATGCAGGTCTGGGCAACTGCTGATGGGGATATCGCCGCAGGATCGTCCGAGTAGGAAAGCACTGTGATGATGCTACTGCTGAGCTCTTCCTTGCTCAGACAACCAGAGGGGGTCAAAACAGCAGCGCTGAGGACTTCTAACCAGTTGTTATTATTGGTGAAGAGGGCCTATGAGCCCGTGATCATCGATGTGGCGCCACCAGTGCTGATGTCAACGCCCGATCCTCCAGTACCAGAATCCCCTATCGATGCGAAGTCCCGGCCAACTGAATGGCTCATGAGAGCGACTCAGAGTCTGCAGGTATAGCAATACGCTTCTGGAAACTGATCGTCATTCGTGTTGCAGGTTGAATCAGAATCAAAAGTAGTTCCTAATATGCCCAACTGTGGGCTTGTGTCTGCGGCCCATCGCCGAGCACGAGGAGTTTTAGTCAGTGCGACGGTCACGCACTTACGAGCTGGGCGAGCCAAATCTCACTTGCTCTGGCGAGTATTGGACCGGCTTGCTGCTGGAGGCTCGGCTACTGATAAGATATTCCTACGGGGCCCTCATATCCTTGGACTCTGTGACATCGGCGGGATTGCCCGGATTGTGGTATGCGTATTACCGACTTCTGGCATGTGCTAAGTATTGGTGGGGACACGATCGAGTTGAAGTACCTGTGCTCTTGTGACGGTGTATGGACGCCACTTTCACCACGTGTGCTGGCGATCATCCTATGCTGCCTTATCACCTCT